ATTTAAAATTCAACAAATTTTAGAAGAAATCAGTTATACAGCAGTCATGCAGAGAAGTACAAAACAAACTTGCTGGTGGGAAATTTAGTTATGTCACAGTAAAGTACATGATTCCATAATAAACTGGAATGAGTGCCTTCATATATATTAGTATTTTCATAATATTTGTTTGATTTCATTACAGAGAGTAAGATAATGGTAATTTCAAAATTATGTCACTGGTATTTCCAGAAAATGTTATGAATTATTTGTTTAAGCAGTATAGCCACATTCTCAAGGAAGGTTTCAATTTGTTATTGGAAGACACATTTCTGGAAAGCAGTAGCTGAAAAAATGATTAACAAACTCACAACATAAGTCTATTCACTTAGTGGAAGATGTACCTGGGATACAGAAAAGGGAAAGGAATGCTATTCCTGATATACTTCTGCATATTACTGATTTGTTGATTTGTTCTGGTGTCTGTAATTTAACTGACATTTTTGTAGTAGGTGAAAATGCAGGGGTCTTCTATGTGTTTGCTTTTTTTACCTTTAAGAATCTTTTTTTTTTTTTTTTACATTGGAGTATAGCTGATTAACCACGCTGTATTAGTTTCAGTTGGACAGAAGAGTGATGATGTGCTCAGTCACTCAGTCCTGTCCGACTCTTTGTAAGCCCATGGACTGTCACCTGCCAGGCTCCTCTGTCCATGGGGATTCTCCAGGCAAGAATACTGGAGAGGGTTGCCATGCCCTCCTCCAGGAGATCTTCCCAACCCAGGGGGCAAACCCAGGTCTCCAGCATTGCAAGAGGATTCTTTATAGTCTGAGGCACCAGGGAAGCACATTTTCTTATACATATAAATATATCAATTCTTTTTCAAATTTTCCCATTTAGGTCATTACAGAATATAAACAGAATTCCCTGTGACAATAGGTCCTTATTGGTTATCTATTTTATTTATTTATTTTTAAACTTTTTATTTTATGTTGGGATATAGCCGATTAATGATGTTGTGGTAGGTTCAAGTGAACAGCAAAGGGACTCAGCCATGCATATACATGGATGTGTTTGATTCTTAATTGTAGAACTTGAAAAACAAACAAACAAACAAACAACAACACAGAAAACAAGCTAGAACCAGGCCTTAGGTTCCACAGTCTCAGCTTTCTTGTGGCCTTTTGACCTTGCTATTTTTGCTGCCTATATGATTAGCTCCTGTTTCTGCATAAGGTATTCATTCAAAAAATCAAGCCAATGATTTTTTAAACTTATTATTAAAAATTCAATATAAAGAGATCAATAAAAAATTGTTTTATTAAATAATCTGTTGAGGCATAGAGACAGTTTTGTCTCACACTGTGTTTATCAGCCTCTTCTTGGTCGCTTGTTGTAATCTGGTGTATTTATTATTAATAGGTAAACTAGAACATCCTATTCTGTGTTCAAAATTGAACATTGGTTGCTAAATAAATGAAAATTGTCTCTGGGCTTTGAAAAATAGCAAGACATAATTTGCAATGGGGCAAACTTATAAAATACACACCCAGAAGTTTGCAGTGTTAATATTAAAGTGAACTATTTATAAATCATCAAAGTGATTCTTCTTCATGAATTCTTAACTTGAAGACAGTACCTTTCAAGGTTGAACCTAAAAGTGGGGCAGCCAGTAACATGGACTTATTTTGATGCCATACAAATGCCAAGTCAAAGCTAGATTTATGTAATGTAAGAATTATTAATTATTCCACAATCACAGAAACTCCCACACAAATCTCTAGGGCAAGTACTAATGGGAACAAATAAATTTTTATTTTCCTCTTGATCTCTGATGCAAATGATAGGAAGAAATAAAAAATCTATTCAGCAACAAGCAAATTATGGTTAGCTACTGAACTTTCCAATGATGGGGATAAAAATATAAAGGTGAACATTATGAACTGAGTTTAATTCAACACATAGATGTGATTGGGTTGTGCTCTTTTACTTACTTTCTTTGTGTTTCTTTTAGGATTGTTTGTATTTATAAGTAAAATTTGGTCTAAGTATTTTAGGAAAAAAATTTTTTTTTAAATATTCCAGTACCTCTCAGGCTACATTAAGGGCTTAATTTTAGGAAAATTGAAACCTAGAAGCAGAAAACACTCTATCTTGCTTCATTTTATTTTTTTTATTTATTTTTTATTTTTTTCCATTTATTTTTATTAGTTGGAGGCTAATTACTTTACAACATTGCAGTGGTTTTTGTCATACATTGAAATGAATTTACATCTTGCTTCATTTTAAAACTACTTAAGCAATAAAAGACCTTCCCTGATGGCTCAACAGTAAAGAATCTGCCTGCAAACAGGAGACTCCAGTTGGATCCCTGCCTCAGGAAGACCCCCTGGAGGAGGAAATGGCAACTCACTCCAGTATTTTTGCCTGGGAAATCCCATGGATGGAAAAGCCTGGTGGTTTACAGACCATGGCGTCACAAGAATTGAATCTGACTTAGCAATTAAACCACAACTACCACCAAGCAATACAAATTAAAGAGAAATTTCATATGACTTTTAGTCTTCATTTTAATACACTAATGTTTATTAAAAAAAAAAGAACTATCTCAGATCCTTTGCTGACAATGAATTCTTAGTTATAACCCAGCATAACTTTTGTCTCTAGGAAATATAAATATATAATACACACACACACACACACACACACACACACACACTTACATATATACATACACACTAAAATGCACTTATACAATTATTTTTGTATCTAGGTTTTATAGGATAGGTATTCTTGGACAGGGACCAAATGTCACGGGTTTTTAAAAAAATCTCCAAATTCTTTCTGTAACAACTGTGCAGAAAAATTACAATCATAATTATTGCAAAAATGTCCTCAGTTGCCTCAGTCATGTTCAACTCTGCGACCCACACACAGACTGCAACCCACCAGGCTGCAGGCCATGGAATTTTCAAGCAATAATACTTGCATAGGTTGCCATTTCCTACTCCATTTGCAAAAATATTGGGAAACTACCATTTCCATATAGCTCTATTTTCCATTGCACATGTCCAAAGGATAACAAGGAGGTATCTAACGTGGTTGCATATCTGGGAAGTGAAGTACAGAAAGAAATCTGAGAACAAGTATACAAAGTTTTTAGCTATCCTATCTTAAGATGAAATTCAATATATATACATCGTTATGTATATTTCCACATGCCTAAATACACATTTTGGACTGTATTTGTGTGTTTGAGATAATAAATTTACAAAATTTAGCAGACAATAAATTACACAAGCACCATCACATACTATACTGTTAAAATTATTTTTGAAATCTGAGTTTACTAATGGATCCCTTAAGTTAAGCATATTTCTTATAAAAGTAGACTGTTATGTGTATTTTATTATAAAAACCCAAACATAAAAACATAGCCTTTACATAAATCCATTTTCATCCAATATGTCAAAAATTGCCAATATTTCACAATGTTTAGAAACCTAAATATCTATTACTAATTTTTGTCAAAGTCAGTGTCCAACAATGGATATATTACAGAATCATAATGGGAGTTGTTAATTCCCAAACTCACCAGGTTAAAAGGGAGTTCATTTTGCTAAGTGTCTTTAATAGAGACCTAGAAAAATGAGGATGTCACTTGATGCTGATTAGTCTGTTAGCTCTCTGCCATTGTCGTTCTCTTAGCTGTCCTTTTTCTAACCAATTTATCCCATGGTCTATAATCTTGTTATACAAAACCTTGTCAATGGACTTACAACCTGGATCCACCTAAGCTTGTTAGAATTGCAGAATATTCTGAATCAGAATCTGTTCTACCAAGATTCCCATTAACATGTGAGATGCACTTAGGTTCTTAAATAGCTCAATTAAACACCAACGGCAGAAATTTAAAATATGCAAAATGGCAACTAGTACAGTCTAACATGGCCTGATGTAACTAAAGGATTTTCATGTAAGCTAGAATCTTACTTTTCTGCCTTCTTTTTCAACTTTTAAGGGTTCATAGGGTTAATCTGTAGCTCAAACAGTGAAGAATCTGCCTGCAATGTGGGAGACCAGGGTTCAATCCCTGGATCAGGAAGATCCTCTGGAGAAGGGAATGACAATACACTTCAATATACTTGCCTGAATAATTCCATGGACAGAGAAGCCTGGCAGGCTACAATCCATGGGGTTGCAAAGAGTCGGACAGAACTGAGTGACTAACACACACGAATAACCAAGTTTGATCTCCCATCTCAAGGTCTTTAACCTTAATCACACCTGAAAAGTACTTTTCCCATGAAAAGTAAACCATATACAGCTTCCAAGGATAAGGGGGTAGACTCCATTGGAGGAGAGTGGGCATTATTTTGCCAGTCAATGAATACTACAAAGTTTAGGATGACATCTTACATACATATCTAATGAGAGAGAGTCATGTAATTCTGTGGTCCTTTGTCATTTCAGTTTTTATTTGAAATAAGTTAAAGGGAGAGAATGGAGGAGGGCATTTGACTCAGCGGAAATAATCCTTGAACAGAGAACCATTCAAGAGCCATGTATTTTACAACAGCCTCTGACTATCCACTTATAAGTACTCTGTAGACCCACATTTTCATGTGTTATCTGCAACTTGATTTCAATTTATCCAATGGAATTGATTCTATCAAATTTAATATGGCTGTTTAATATGTCTCAAGTACTGCAATAGGTCTATGATAGGATAATTAAATCAAGTGAGTATTAAAAACTCACTTAAAAGCTGCCACAGGGACTCACAAATGCCAATAATTACTCTGAAGTACACATAATCATAGAATAGTAATAATGAAATCAGTCAAATGTATCAAATTGTCTAAATGAAAATTACACTAAATAAAAATGCAAGAAAATCATCAGTATTTTACTTGTCACCTTTATCAGACCATTGTGTGAATTGCCTCTAACTTTATGAAATGGTAGATGAGCTGTAATCTTAAAACAGTACCTGGAATGATGAGTCTCTTTCCTGCTAGGTACTCTGTTGATCGGCATACTGACATGGACCGGATTTTCAGTATTCACTCAGAAAATGGCTCTATTTTCACTTTGAAGCCTCTAGACAGGGAATCAACTCCTTGGCACAATATAACCGTCACAGCTACAGAAATAAGTAAGTTGGAAATACATCCATCTGAGCACACTATTTTTCACCAAAGTCTTAAAATAATAGCATTAAGTAAACTTTTTCCTGAGAGGGATGATTTTATTATTAGAACTGAGAGAAATTACTTAGAGTGTGTTGGAGTTTTAACTTATTTTAAGGATTACCAAATATTCATTCATTTTAAACTTGGCTTTCTTTTACATCTTACTGTAGAATAAAACATGATCTAATCATAAAATAATCAGCCTAAGAAAAGCGTATCTTACAAATAATATTCACTCTCAATTATATTCTCCTCATTCTATCATGCTTTTCACTTGAGCCATGTAAGAAAACTGGGATATACATCAGCAATCCATTCAAAAAGTGAATACCATAGAAATGATGTGTTGCTAAGTTACAAATGGGGCAAACAATACCACTGCTACTCAGTAAACAAGGCTAAAATCTTACACATGTTCTCACTGCAGATAACTCAAAACAAAGTAGCCACATTCCTGTCTTCATCAGAATTCTAGATATAAATGACCACGCTCCAGAATTTGCCATGTACTATGAAACATTTGTTTGTGAAAATGCAAAACCTGGGCAGGTAAGTTATAAACTTAAACAAATTTTTCCTCTTCACCAAGGCAAATGACATTTCATTAATTTACTTGGACTTTTTTTTTTTCATGAAAACTATTGTCAATTCACCTCGTCATTTCTTTATCTCCCATACCAAACAACTCACAATAATCTTAAAAATATGAATTTTTTTTCATTTATGTTTATTAGTTGGAGACTAATTACAATATTGTAGTTGTTGGGGATGGGGAACACATGTAAAAATATGAATTTTTAAATATTTTATATAATCTCTGATGTAATAGGAAAATTATAATATATGCTTTAATTTATATACCAGGTACATAATAGATATCACATATATAAAATTTCCTACCTGGATTCATAATTATACTGGTAGTGATATATAATCACGAATGGGATGAAAACATATTATTAAATATAACATGAAGTAAGAAAATAATATTGACCTGGGTTAATATAAAGGAAACCATAATAATTTCTTGCTGATTACATTTGCCACTTTCAGTTGCTCAATTAGGTCATTTTGGTTTGAGATTAGTTATATTTTGTCTGTTTTTTCAGCCTTAATATTAGTGAGATAAAAAAGATTGTACAAGAGTTACAAGGTCATCTTATAAAGCAATATTTCAGACATCACTAAAGTAATTTTAGGAAAATGCTATGTTCACTTTTTACACTAATGTAGTATTTTATCACTGAGCCCCCTAGTATGGACTTAAGAGAATACACAATAACCACAATGATGGATACATTAAACTACTGCAGAACTCTACTAATTCTTCATCACAGAATGTTGGACTGTGATACCTGGAAGTGGTGAAACTATTTGTTTTTGTAGAAGAGAATTTGAAAGTAATGGTAATTAAATGATTGTGATTACAAATCTCACAGATGGCAGATCCAGGACTAGAAAACAGACCCCCCAATGTGTGGCTTTGTATTTTATCCATGATAAAATGCTCACTAGCATTTCACTGCCCAACCTGTCATTTGCTGTTCCATCTTCCCACTGTGGCACACCTCTAACCTACAGGGAGCACAGCTGAGAGGTGCTATAATTTCCCAAATTCAATAGTGTATTACAAAACTTTAGAAGGCTTTATTCATAGATTCTTCTAAATTTTGCAGCTACCATTAAAAAGAAGAGCGAACATTTTGAATGAAGTATGCAATCTCATTGTAATTATGACACCCCAAAGCTTTAAAATCTTCTGCTTTCTGGTATTATATGGCATATTGCTCATTTTTCCAAAACTATATTTATAGTTTCCTTAATCTCTAGGAGTGATTGTGATAATCACTTTTTTTTTTTAAAGATCCATCTGTTATGTTCTTTGCTTTTGAAACAATCATTGTCTAGTGGAGGCAAGATGTTGGTAACCAATTCATAATAAAATGGACTGGTAGTATATATTAACAAGTCAAAAGGCAAAAGATATTGACTTGATCTAATTTTGGATTTCTTTCCTTGGATACAATAGTGACCAGGAAGCAGACAATGATTCATAGTTTGCTCTGCAAACTGAGACTTGATTGACATTTTTTATTCCTCATTAAATAAGTTACATTAGACAGAGCTATAAAAAACACTGGAAAATTTTCTCAAATGGAATTTTTTGTTTGTTTGTTTAGTTTCAGTGATATATTTAAAGCCCAAATGCTGATTTTAAATGTCTTGTAATAACAAGTGTTGCTTTTTGTGCTCTATTTAATTGATTTTTTTTGGTTTTAGTTAATTCAGACTGTCAGTGTCATGGACAAAGATGATCCTCCCCGAGGCCACAAATTCTTTTTTGAACCAGTGCCAGAATTCCCCCTCAATCCAAACTTCACCATTGTAGACAATAAAGGTACAGAGCATTTTTAAAGACAAATATGATGAAACATTAAGAGGCAGAATTTAAAAGACTGATCTGACTTTTTGTTGTTGTTAACAGATAATACAGCAGGAATCATGACTCGAAAAGATGGGTACAGCCGCAACAAAATGAGCACATATTTGCTGCCAATTTTAATTTTTGACAATGATTATCCAATTCAAAGCAGCACTGGCACACTCACCATTCGTGTGTGTGCTTGTGATAATCAAGGAAACATGCAGTCCTGCAGTGCTGAAGCCTTGGTCCTCTCTGCTGGACTGAGCACTGGAGCTCTCATTGCTATCCTCCTCTGCGTCATCATACTGCTTGGTAAGTATGCCCCAGAATGATATGCCCCTGAGATATACTCACTCAATTCAAGGAATTCTCTTCTTCATTACCCAGTGATTGTGTACTGAAAAACACTCTCCTTTATAGCTAAAGAGGGAAAATTTGAGCTTGTTATTAAAATTGTTCTTCCGATAAAAAAAAAAAAAGAATTTTTAATGGGGGCTAAGTCTAGCTTACAAGAAACCAAAAAACAAGGATATAATAACTTGTGATATGTACAGATATTTTAAAGTACATTTTGTATATGTATAGTGTTTAATGTGAACTAATATGGTCACATTTCAAATGGTACTTCATTTAATAATTGATTAAATTTTTATGTCAACTAAGGTAAATACTTTCATTCTTCTACAGAAGGTTAGATAACTTACACTAAGTCACTCATTCAGGAAGTGTTCTAACTATCATTCAAACCCAGATTATTATTTGTTAGAATTCACCTTTCTAACCATTGTCCTCGAAACAAAAGACTATTTTACAAATAAAATTCCTAATATTACCATGTATTTCACACAGGAATTAACCAGCCCATTTAAGTTGTCACAATAATATAGACATTTTTTCATAATTTTTGTTATATGTAGTTTCAGTCCACCAAAGAAAATGGTTAAGTTCATTTTAAAAAATATCACTATGACACTGTGCCCATACCTACTTCAGCAATATTTTCTAAATCAAGTCATGCTTCCAGTTGCAAATGCTTTGAGTATGCCCTAACAGGACAACAATTTAATTCAATTAAACGTTTGTTCCACTGTAAAACATTCCCCCAAAACTTGTTTCCATCAAATACTCATCCAAAATGAATGCTTAGGGCAGGAGCGCTAGCCAAATTTATGTTCCAATACTCATATGTGTTGGCTCCTTTTCACTGCAAATCCCTTCAACCTATCTGGATGTGGTCCCTTTGGCCAGATATTCTTGCAGGACTTCAGCAGGGAACTGATTCAAGTGAGGGCAAAACATTTGTCCCAGTTATCATGGTCCAACTATTTAGAAAAACAATTTATCAGGGTGATTTTGAATTTACACAGTACTACCATCAGCAGCAGCAGTCTGCATGTCCACGTGCTGTTAGAAATTTCAACTCCTCTGTAAAATATTGTTGTATCCCTATGGAGATTAAATTTGCCCTACCCTTTCAGCAAAGTGCTACTGATATCATGCTGTTTTATTTGCTAAAATAGTTCTACTTGTCTAATTTAGAACAAGATGGAAATAGGTATATTTTGTTTTTTTCTTAATTCCAGTATTAATATAATACATACACACAAAAAGACATGCATATGAGGGAATAATATTCATCTGCCAAAATAAGTTTAGATATCATAACAGTATTCAACTAAATCTCTACGCAGAAATTCTAGAAGGCTCTTTTATTCAGAAAAGTTTGCCTTCATTCTGACCGGGGCAATATGGAGGGCACACATTTCATATATTTTACCTTTCAATCTATTATCTAAACATGGAATTATTTTCTATTATCTTAGTCAGAATGTGTTCTAATTCATAAGGTTTTATTATAAACTTCCTTCAGCACTCTTCTATTATTTCAAGCCTTTATACTGACGACTGCATATAGTTGCTATATTTCTGTAGTTAGGAGCTCGGCTCTGCAAGGTGGATATAACAAGGGCCATGATATTTTAGGCCTATCCTTTCACAGTTTGAAGAAATGTAGTTCTTCATTTATATCCATGACACAAGGCAGGGGTTAAAACCTAGGGCAGGACTTCTTAACCCCTTTGGTTCCTTGAACACCTCTGGTAGTGAAAATGAAATTTGTGACCCATATTAGAATAATAATTTAAACTTATTAAATAAAACATGTAATACAAAAGGAAATATATATATATATATATATATGCAAATTAAACAAAAAACAGAAAGCAAAATGTGCTTATATATGCTTTGTTTTAGTGCAAGCCTGATGATCATCTGTGACATGTCCTAATTATAATGAAATATAAAGTATCTATGATTTCCATTGGTTTGATAGTCACCATACTCTTACTATCACTACAATTTATGCTGATAATTATGACGGAAAGTGCTACATTCAGGTTACAAATTAGTAAAAATAATTTATTCCTTATCCTATAATCTATTCCTTATCCTAGCTTCTCTGAATTGCATTCACATACCCCAGATTAATAACCTCAGTTGAGGGAAAAGAAGCAGATAATTTTGACCTGGCAAAGGAGAAAATACTCAGAGAAGATTCTAAGGGCCATTTGTGAAAATGCATAAACTTTATATTAGCTAAGAAACCCTTGAAGCGATTTGACTATACCGTGGTTGTGCTACACATATAGAGAATTTATAAATTAGTAGGACTCCCCAGGTTGTTCTAGTGGTAAAGAACCCATCTGCCAATCCAGGAGATGTAAGAGATGTGGGTTCAATCCCTAGCTCAGGAAGATCCCCCGGAGGAGGGCAGGGCAACCCACTCCCATATTCTTGCCTGGAGAATCCCACAGACAGAGGACCTTTGTAGGCTACAGTCTATAGGGTTGCAGAGTTGGACATGACAGAGCGACTGAGTACACACATGTAAATTAATTCATTGAATATTAAACTGGCTCACTAGATTGGTGGATTTCAGACCTATATTGAATTTAATTAACACGTTCATCCTTTAATAGGAGAGAGTAAAGATATGTCTCATTTTCAATGGATAGTTTCTTATAATGTGTCCAGCATGACTCTGAATATAGCTCAGCACCAAAAGCCTGCTTGGTGCAGGATAATAAAGATATTTCTAATGATTTTTTTGTTTTCTTTCTACTAAATAGTAGAAGTTGAGGAAAGTGTTTTGGTCAATATAACAATAGCATTGGACAGGCCTTAATGGTAGTTACAGGGACATCAGGGCCATGGTGAAGTGCAGTCTCAATGAAAATTAGTTTCTGTAATCTCAAAACAAAGATTGAAAAAAATTAAAGATAGAATTTGAGCCAACACTTTTCTTATTTTTCAGTGAAACATCAGTAATACCAACAAAATATTTTAACTTTCCTAAAGTAAGAGAAAATTTGCTTTTATTTCTCCCCAGCAATGTATAAGTATGCTTGGAAACTTTTTCTTTATATAATTTTAACTTTTCTTATATATAAAATTATGGACTTGGTCCATTCTCAATGGAAAACATACCTTGTTGGAAATCACATAATCTTTCTTACATTTTTAAATGTAATTTTTAGTTTATAAATGTATTTATCTTGCAAATGTTTGTTGTCAAATATTTGCATAATAGTTTACATTTTACTAGTATAAAAGAAATAAGAAGGCATATCATATGTGGGGAGGGTTCACAGTGTATGCAGAGGGACCAGCCTCGAAGCTTGAATACAACTGTATAAGTCAAGAAAGTCCTTAGAAACAAGGTAATTTTTGTAAGATGAGTAGAAGATAAGGATGAGTTTAAGTTTGAATTTAATATTGTAGCATATAAAACTATATTTCAGATTTTACGCAGGATTTCAAAACCAGGTCAATAATGGGAATGGATGAAACCATGATATATATGTATGTATACATATCTATAATATGTGTATACATATGTAGGTACAATACAAATGACACATATTTACACATATATGCATATAAAGCAAATTTATATGCATAAATTTGAATGTTTTGCATATATCCCCTGAGTCATTAACAAAACATAAAATCTGTGCTCAATTTCTCTTGTGATAATAATGATTGTAGTTTTAGAATTTTAATATTTTGAAACAAATGTGCATTGAGGAAAAGTGAGATATTATATAAAACTCAGTTGGTTAAATGCATTAGTCATAATTAAAGTTTTTCAATGCCTGAGCCCTGTAGGAGATTGAGTCTCAAAAGCAAATAAATGGCACTGTATTATCTGCTTTTTTTGTTTTGTTTTGTTTTCTTTTCTTTTATCAATATAGCACATCCAGTCTTTGGCCCAAATTATGCTGTATTTGTACAGAGTAGTTAGTCTTTATATCCAAATGAACTTAACACCTCTTTCACCACATCAAGGTCACAAACATAGGTGTGTGCTGTATTTAAACCAGAATTATGGAATCTCACTGTCTCTCTGTCTCTTTGTTATATTTGCTTTTTGTTATTTTTTGTTAATAGTTTTAGTTGTGCTTTTTGCTGCATTGAAGAGGCAAAGAAAAAAGGAACCTCTGATAATTTCAAAAGACGATGTCCGGGACAACATTGTGACCTATAATGATGAAGGCGGCGGGGAAGAAGATACCCAAGCTTTTGACATCGGCACTTTAAGGAATCCAGAAGCAAGAGAAGATAGTAAACTTAGAAGGGATGTAATGCCTGAAACAATTTTTCAGATAAGGAGGACTGTACCTCTGTGGGAAAATATTGACGTACAAGATTTTATCCATCGAAGACTAAAAGAAAATGACTCAGACCCAAGTGCACCTCCTTATGATTCACTGGCAACTTATGCCTATGAAGGGAATGATTCCATAGCAGACTCCCTCAGTTCTTTGGAATCTCTTACAGCAGATTGCAACCAAGATTATGATTACCTCAGCGACTGGGGGCCTCGTTTTAAAAAACTTGCTGATATGTATGGGGGTGATGATAGTGACCGAGACTGAGTATGGTATGACTTCACAGATGTCGGTGGAAGTACTCTCTTTGCTACTAGATGGAGTGGCCTGCATTCTCTTCCTTGGAGGAAATTTTTAAAAAGTTAAAATTACAAACAATACGTAGGTGTTGTCTTAGTAAGAGTTTGCTTAATCAGTAAGTTTCTGTGAATGAATATGAATGACATAGATTTTAAAAAGTAATAATAACCAGTTCACCCTCTCTGCCTAACAATCTCTGAAGGAAAGTATATCACATCAATAATCGATAACATATACATAAAAGGCTTTTTGTGCCTTTTCTTAGATATAAGAACTTTATAGATAATGTTTTCTTAACTGACTTACAGTCACCTTTACTATTAAATGAAACATTGTGCAACTGCTTTGTAAATTAATATAAAAAATATATCCCTAAAGAAATAGGAATGACTATTACTGCCATATTTATTTAGTTGAAGAATGTCTTTGTGTTAATTCATTCATATTTTTATAAATGTATATTTATATTTTTGTATTTTTATGAAATAAAATAGTATTTATAAAAATAAATTTCATTTTATTTGATTCCTATTAGTACTTCTGATATTGCTTTTAACATTTTTTAAACATCTTTAAAAGTAAAACATGATTTACTCAGGGAAAAAGTAGCTAAATTATTGCATGCAATTTGGAACTAGAATATCATGGGACTATAAAAAACTTTGGTACGGATTGTGATTTTCTGCTTCAAGCTCTCAAATATGGACAAGTGTTTATCTAGCCACTGATGTCTACCCATTGATTAGGATGTGAGACACTTGGAATATAAAATGTTATAAATATATCTGTGAATAATTAACTAAATTTTTGTACAATTATTTCCTATGGGATCAACCAGTGAATTTTATCTGAAAGTAAAGTATGTGTCAGTAATGTGTTGATGCTAAAAAAATCTAAACCTTCCTTCAACAATAGTATATTTCTCAGAATGAGAAATTATAGTTGTGACTTTCCTTTTTATGATTAGATAATTCATGGAATATATTAATCATATGGGTAATATTTAAAATGTGTATTAATAAATTATTGGAGTTTTTTGGCTGATAATTTTGTTAAGGAGATTTGAAGCCATTGTATTTGAGGCAATCTTAAAAAAAAAAAAAAGAGCAACATGTAGATTGGAGATAAGAAAACTTAAGGAATGTAAAATTTTGCTAATAATTGGGATTGTCCAGAAAACAGAATATAGACACCCTAAGAGAGAGGGAAAATTGTGTGTAATAATCATTTGCAAATTTTGAAAGACTGCAATTCAGAAAACTTGCCCTAGTTTAGCCTGAAGAATAAAACCTAAACTAAAAGAAGCTTCATGAGGAGATTATATGATACCCAGTTTCTATGTCATGAATTACCCTTTTCTTTCTTCTGTATTACTCCTCCTGTGAAGAGCAAATGTCATGCCCAGGGTGATTTCTAGATAGAATTTATGTAAAAGTTTGGCTTTGACTAGTCTGTTACCAAGTCTTTTAAAATAGTTAACACTTATCAAATTATAAACAGACCCTTATGCATTGTATTATGTTACTATATTGGAAAATAGTTAAAGACAAAGACTATTTCAATGACTTTACCACCAATAGCTAACACATATTAAATATTTAATGCTAAGAAAACAAAAATATACTGGGTCCTTAAAAAATAGGTGAAAATTTTCTTATCATTGAGATTGTCCAGAAAACAGAAAACTTTTAGTTCAGAAAGTATTAGTTTTCACTTAAAAATGACTCCTTTCCCTATTGCTAGAGACTTTCCAGTATAAATCAGACAAATATTTGAGGAGGATTATATAGAGTGGCTTAAGGTAGTCAGAAAAAATGAATTTGATATCTATTAATGCCCCTTATAATCACTTTATTCTATAATCACTAGAAGGATAAGTGACAATAGCAAACACATTCCAAGGAGAGCTATAATTACAGTAGGAGTAAAGTCTGCTTAAAAGAGAAGAGATTATGTGAGATCTGAACTAGGGGATAGGCAGTTACACTCACTGCCTGGTTTTACATGCTATAAATACTAAAAACACCACAATAAACCAAGCTTCAGTTGTGATCTATAATTGCTATGAGAAAACCAGAATGATAATAGAAAAGACATATTAAATTGTTAAGCTCAATTATAAATAATTGTTAATTTGACTGCATTTTCAGCAATTATATAATGAATTTAGTTTTAGGGTTCTGCCTTTCCTTGATCAGAAAATCACTGATAAATTACTGGAGTCTTTATAAGGACAGAGCTACAGACTTCATATTTTAAATAGATATATGATTGTGTCTGCTATAAATTGGAGGATCAGATTCAATCAAAGAAATTACCAGGTCTGTGTAATACTAATTCTTACTACAATTTTCCAGTAATCCTTAAAATTCCTACAGTGTAAATAATGCCTTTGGGAGTCAGATCAGATTTTATTATTTCCAAACTGACAAGTAAAAAATTGTCTATCTTCTCCAAGAAAGTATTGATGATAATATTTACCCTATTGAATTTGGTTAATTTGATTTCACTAAATGCACACATTAAACCTGATAATTTTATTTTCCATTACATGATTCTCTTGGATGGTAGAGTTGGTAATATTTGAAGAAAATTAACACCATGTGTGCTTACTTTTCAAACAAAATAAATTAATTACTTTGCTTACTCATGAGGTAAATTAAATTAAAATCCATTTGAATAACCATTTTCCCAAATTTAAAGCTTAATCATTGTTTTATTTTAATGTTCAATAATTTTCAGAAAAATATCTTTCTATATTCATATTTGAATATATTCTTCATTGAGAGGAACCCACCTACATTGTTAGAACTTTAACACAATCTGAATGCTTTCACATTCAATCCTGTCATCTGACAAAGGAAATAGATTCCAATGGCTTAAAAATCAAGCTTATTAAAGAAAAGATCATTAACAACAAAGCAAGCCAATAGATAAGAAAAAAAAAAAAGTAACAGCATCTTACCTTAGCCAGGGTTGAAATGGTCCCAGTCAATTATTTCCTTTATTCTCGGTAAAGTACCACAATTGGCTCCCAAGATTCTTCATTATTTTGGGTTTTCTTTTCTTAATATGTTACTCTTTTCTTTCTTTCTAACTCTGTATTTAGGAGTAATCCAAGCCTGAATGTTTTTTCCCCTCTATTTAAATGTTGATGTTCTTATCTATGGATAAAATACATATCTCTATCTTGATATAGATGTATCAATAATTAAAAATGTAAATGGAAAATTTCCAAATTTCCACTTATCTTTACCTCTTCTTTTATAATCCAAATATGTATATATATATATATATGTATATATATAAAGCTATTGTAAATTTCCACTTGTGCATTTAATTAAGTGAGATATGTCCAGATTTTAACTTATAGTTTAAACTCCTGAATCTGTGCTATTCTCTACCTCTTTTATATAGGTTGATGGCAATTGATCCATCTACTTGCCCAGGCCCAAACCCTACAGTGATCCTTCATTCCTCTCATTCATATTCAATATTTTAGAAAATCCTGTTGAATATACCTTTAAATTCACTTAAAATATAATAACTTTTCATCACACTTCCTGATATAATCCTGGTATAAAAGGCTTGCCTTTAAACTCAGTTCATGCACATGAGTTTGAGCAAACTCTAGGCAATAGTGAAGGACAAGGAAGACTGACATCTTGCAGTTCATGGTGTCGCCAGAGTCAGACACGCCTGAACTACTGAACAACAGCAAAAGTTTTCCCTAGACTACTGCAAAATGCTTCTAAGTGTTTTTGCTCCTACCATCTACTTTGAATGTCAAAATGGATTGCATTTCTTTCTATTTTTGCTTATTTGTTTCAATTAGGTAAGTGTGAGCATCTCATCTCTTGATTCAAAATTTATCAACTGCTCTTCAAAGTGAGAGTCAGTCCTCCCAAATGATATGTCATTTGAGAACCATGCTATCTCTTTGATCTTATTCTTCTCTATTTCCTTAATTTATGTCACTTTAGTTATTCTGGGCTTCTTCTAAGCTCTTTCCCTTTGAACTGACTGATCACTCTTTTAGAACAATCTTTCCCCAGATATTGATGAAGTTAAAGACTAACTTCCTTTAAGTCTTGGGTCAGATGCCACTTTCTAGATGAGGACTATATTAAACAATCTCAAACTGGGATCTCCTGCATTGCAGGCAGATTCTTTACTGACTGAGCTATGAGGGGAGCCCTTATTAAACAATCTATTAGTATTTAAAACTGCAGTCCTTCTAACCCATTTCTCCTTTCCACATTTATGTTGAAGTTAACATTTTCTCAGGAAATACTATCATTCAACATTATATACAATTTGTTTGTCATCTAATTGTTGTCTGCTCATTTCCACTAGAATTATTTTTGGTTCATAGCTTGTAGGATAAGGAGAGACTGAAGAAAGAGGCAGGCAACTCCAGATTAATAGGTGGCAGTTTTAATAACCAAGAGATCTTACATATGAGATCTCCCTTTGCAGTTGTAAGATAAGTAGATCTCCTCACTCTCCCACCAAAATCTTAAGACATTTCCATAGTAGACTTACCTGGATCTGGTCATGTGTTCACTCCAGATGGTATCAACATATCTTATTCTCTCAAAGCTGTGTTTTAAGACAGCATCTTGGTGTGGGGTGGTGAGTGGAAGGTGCTTTCCAAGGGTAGAGAGTACATGTAGACCCTTCAATTTCCAGTCCAGTATGCTGATCAAGCAGGAGTCACCTCCTGTTGATAACCTCTTCCAGCAATGACTGGTATCTTTGGGTAACAAAGGTATATCATATATCATATTCAATAAAATATCCTATGTGTCTAGATTAGTGTCATACTTTGTTGAAAAGCAGCAAATATTTTACAAATGGGGAATGTCAGACTCAGTATTTAGATGTGATAGCTAATTTCATAAAATAATATAAATGCATAGGAGATTAAAATAGAACAAATGTAAACAAAAATGATTATACTCAAA